GGCCGCATATCAATTTAATAAACAATTATAATAAATAATAGTCATCCCATAATTACCCCCCCACCCCATTTAAAATCTACTTTAAAAATGCAGCTAATTGGCAGGGTGACCCAGCTGCAGCAAGAATGGCGGTAATTATTCCCGGGTAGAGAGCAGTTTCCCTCTGCATAGCTCCTCCAAAGTCAGTTGAGATTGCTACCTCGGGACACGTTCTTATTTTTTAAAAAATGAAATAATATTTTTTATCGAGTATTATACTATTAAGGGAATACATAGGGGCATGGGTTTGTGTATATGTAAGTATGTATAGGTAAAACCTTAGACTGGCCAGTGACAAAATATGATGGGAGATAAGACCCAGATGCAGTGCAGGAAACATGGGAGAATGAAGCAAAATTGTACATAGGTAAATTCAGAAAATTAAGAAAATCATTCCCTGCGTGGAGCAATGGCAACTGGGAGAAATGTTGTGACTCTTCTGGTGGTGTTGGGGTTCTGGTCTGGCAGCAGGGAACAGATACCGTTTTGTTTTATTGACTTTTAATCTTTTAAGAGGTGAATGTTTCTTTACCATCCTATAGTAGCTGAAAACACTGCAGTTTAGGAAGCTTTTCCTTTGTTCTTTCTGTGGTATTTCCACAGGGTTTATTTTTTTTAAAAAAAAAGAACCCTTGGTTTGGGTTTAACTTTCTAAGCCATATTTTTTGCTTGCTGAGTTATGTGAATCCAGTCAGTATCTTAATTACCAATAAATAAAGTTAGGCAGCAAGGAAGGAAAAATAGGGTTTCCTACTACATCTGTTTCTCCAGAGGGTAACCCTGATAATGGACTTAGATAGGCACCTTTGCATAGTACTAAGCAGTCCATCCTGCCACAGGTTAGCTACTTTTTTTTTTTTCTCATACTGTGTGAACCCAGCCAATATAATTAATGGTTCATTGTTTCCTCAGTTAGATTCAGAAACGCCTGCATTAGCCTGTTTGGTGGATATGGCTGCTGCTTTTTTTAAAAAATGTCTTGTGAACTCAGCCCAAGTCTGAGTGACTTATCATTGTGACCTAGCATTTTTTTTTCATTTGGCTTCCATTAGATTCAAGCTATTCTATGGTGTACTGAATGTAATTTTGCTTTGAATCTAGAGTATCCAGGTGTGACTGGCAGGTTGGGTTTGTACAACATGCTGAACTCTAAATCCAGATTAATTACTGTGTGTGTATCATATACCATCCCTAAACAAATGAACTACATTATATCTTAATGCATTGGTTGGGTTCACACAATGTTATAAGACAATGGCTGAATTCCCACAACACAGTGAACCACAAATTGCCCAACCCTGTTTCATCTTAGACTAGCATGTTGTGCAGATCTAGTCTGCAGAAGCATAAGAAACAGCTGCTGTGAAACTTAACACTCACATTTTAACATGTTCATGGACATTGACCAATAAGTCAGTTAAGTGTGCATTTTACCTACTTACGTATTTTGTATTTATTAGAAAAGACACAAACAATAAATCGAGCCGGCATTGTCCAAGAAGATGTACAGCCTCCAGGTATATCTCTAAATTTCTAATTGAGGTGTGTCTGTTCAATTATGTTTTGGTTTAAACGAGTATCCCAAAAGTTGATAAGCAATGGGGTTTAATTTCGATGCCAGCCTGAGGATGTGAGATACATTTTTAAATTGATAATTTCTACTTGGTTGAGTCATGTCTGCTGCTGCTGCTTAGAAAATTGTTCCAGAGTATGCATTATTTGTGACCTGAATATATTTTACTCTTGTTCAGTTTTAGAAATGTAAATTGGAAAATAGATGCAGATTGGACCTTAGCTTATGTCTGTTTGTATGAAAAGGAGGAAAAACGTGCAAATATTCTCATATTAAAAGATCTCCTTCAAGATATGACCATTAATTTGGTATCTCTCAAAAACTATCAGAAATACATAGTTTATCTTCAATGAGATTGTCTCAGACAGCTTAACAGCTGGCGTGGCTGTTCTCTAAGAAGGCCTCCAATGGTGATAGTAACAACCATCACCCCCTTGCAAATATTTCTTTTGGAGATGAAGTCCTCAAACAGGTGGCAACTATTTAAATTCAGGTTCTCTTGGGTGGGACAGGTTAGTTGTATTCTCATGAAACATTTGCCCATAATTAACTATTCTTTACTCAACCCAATTTTCTGTCTTTGCACAATACATTGAACCTTAATGATTAGCTTTGTACAACCCACTAGCCTAAAACATAGCTAGTTTATAGTTGAGCACATTCCATAGTCACAACTGTTAATTTGAATCAATTTTGATTGGAGCAACACATAAGCTCTAGTAAGCTAATCAATTATAAAAACACATTTTAGCATGGATCAAGGTCTGATTTTAGTGCATAAATCACTTATGCTTTTTGAAATAACTGAAAGGTTTCTAAAGGTTTTAGGGGGATTCAAAGAAAACGCACATCCTGAGTGATTGTCAGTACACTGCATACCTCTTGGATGATAGGATGCAGGCAATGCTATGTTAGCTAGCAAAGCAGTCACTAGAGATCCTAGCTTGCACTTTGTGTGTGTACATGCACACCTTTGAGTAATTATTGACTCCTGCTTACTCCCCTGATGACTGCCCTGCTATGTTCTCGGCAACATTTTTGGAAGTGGTTTGCCCTTGCCTTCTTCCTGGGGCTGAGGGAGAGGGAATGGTCCAAGGTCACCCAGCTGGCTTCACGCCCAAGGCAGGACTTGAACTTATAGTCTCCAAATTTCTTGTGCTTTAAACCATTACAACAAACTGGCTTTCCCTAGCTCGCATAGGGTAATGAGGTAAAAATTGACTGTGGTTTGTGTTCAAGAAAAAATTACAAGAGGTAGTTTATAAATGTGAGAACGTGGGAAATTGGTAAGGCTGGAGTGATACATGGTGTAACTGGAGAAATATTAAAATAAGGATCTCATTTGCTTTCGGAATGGCTTTAGTGGTTGTCTGATGTTTGTGTGAAGGCTGCATCTGTGGCTGATAATTTGAAGATTGCTGTTCTTGGCCTGTAAGAATAGAAAAGTAGCAAGAGTGAATGCAAAAGCTGGAGGAGGATTACTTTGTTAAGGATGTCTGGGAAAGAGGTGATAGTGACCAAAATAGGAAAAGTGCAGTGTGGCAGAACAGATTTTTGTTGTATGACTAAATCAGCTCAAAGTTGTTCATTTTTTACCAGGTCAGTTATTTTGGTATTTAGTGCAGAGTTACTGAGATTTTAGTTTGCAGAGGTTTGGTTATATGGAAAGAGTGGGGAACGAATTGCAAAACATAAATGAAGGAAGAGTAAATAGGTGGAGAGAAAGAGCAAGATTGAGAAAGTCATGGTTGATGGAATCGCCAAATGAAACAAGTGAGAAGTTTAAAGAGCAAAATGATGTGGGGTGTGGCTATGAGGAAAGCTAGGATGGTTTGTGAGCATAGAAAGGTATGGAGAGAGTTGCAAACGGTGTTAATAAAAACTAGATTTAGGTGTATTTCCTTTTTTATCCAATGCTTTTAATTTCTTTTGCTATTTCTTATTCCCTTTCTATACTTCCCATAGGGTATGTATGGGGGAAAATCCTGCCAGTATCCTGATGTTATCCAGCTCTTTTCCTTGTCAACCTTAGTTACTGAAATTGTGTTTGCACAGCCAACCACATTTTTCTTTGTATGTTGTGCAAGGTCAGCCTATCTGATCAGTTTTATGGCTTGCGAGGCTATGCAAATCCAGAAAATTTGGGTTAATTAAGTAAACTTATTAAATTAACTGTTGGTGAGGATGGTTGGTGAACTCAGCTGCTCTGCTAAAATGAAGTCTATTTTTTAGTGGATTGGATGAAGGCCAGTAAGTAAAACAATTCCAAGAAAGCGGAGGTGCTCTGATTGAATGGTTTCCCTGTTTGAAGAATTAGCATTCATCCAGACAGACAGTGGTTTGCACTAATCTAAAAAGCGGATTTCCAATTTGTTTTTTCTCTTGCTTTTAACTTTGGCATAGACTCCCAAGGGTAGTTATTGTAGACTGAACTATACTGGCTTGTCAATATTCCTAGACAGGGATAACCTGGTCATAGTTATCTATGCTCTGGTTATGTCCTGACTAGATTGACAACACTTTGAAGCAATCAACTGGCTTTGTAAGTTGTTTGGCGCTTGAATTATGAGTGCAACATATTTGGATTGGATCTTGCCATTTTTAAAAGAACTCTACTGGCTACCTATTTGATTCTGAGTCTGTTTAAAGTACTAATTTAGATACTTGCAGAAGTATGTACTCTTATTCCAAAGTGCCTTCTCTGAAATATGATCTACTGATATTCTTTATGCCTTCTCTTTCTGAGATGCGATAGAAGGGGAAAAAAGGGTTTTTTGTTACTCTAACCACCTAATTGTGAAATACCCGGCTCAAAAGGCTTATCAGTGTTGTTATTGATTAGACACTTTTTCTACAAACCAACATTGTAAGGATTCAACTTTAAGTAATACAAAAAAGTAGGAATTTATCTGTTCCTCCACTGTCACTGCCACCCTTTTATAAAGCAAATATCTAAGAAACCAGTACTTTCATTAGCGTTCCAACTCACTGATTATTTGTTGCTAATTTTTTTCCTACTACAATCCTAAACACATTTATTGAAGAATGAGTTTGATAGGTTTATTTATTGGAGAATGGCATTTTATATTTTAGCTTTTAGCTTTGGGGTGTGTGTGTGCGTATGTTTGTTAGATTTTTTTATTGTTGTTGGATAATTATGTTGTACACCAGAGTCACACTGTCTGAGTTGGGTGGCCTTATAAATCTTGAAATAAAATAAATAAACAAATAAAATGAGTTAGATTTAAGAGCGGAATTTCTTTCTGAGAAAATCTGCTTAAATTACTAAGTGAATAGTTATGTCATTTCCTCCAACTTTCTTTTCCCTCAGCATTTTCTCTCACAGACAGTTCTGTCCCCAGCCCTTCTCCCTGTATTTGATGCTCATTTCTAAAAAGAAAAAGAAAGTTAAATCTAGCCTGAGTTACACAGTGTGTGATTGTAAGTGCTGCAGTTCTGCTGCTCCAGCTGTGTTCCATAAAAGCTCTCACAAGAGCATGCTGTACTGATAGATTTGTTTAGAAGCTGAGCTGCTGGGGAATGCTGGGAGAATTGTGGACAGTCTCACCTGAAAGTAGAGGAAAATTCCACATTGAGGAAGGGTAACCAAAGAGTGTTAGATTACCTTTATGTGTAGAGTAGCTACATGTTCTGATGTACACATAGGAATATCACTTCTCATTCCTTCTCACCTCAGTCCAATTTTAAATAAGAGATCTGACTGTTTTTTGGGGGGGAGGGGGCAGATTACTTGTTTCATTATTTAAATTATATGGGTTATGGGGTTTCTCTGTGTGTATGTTTACCACTGGGAATTAACTATCTCCTTGCACTCTTACTGATATATAAAAGGGATAATTCTAAAACATCCCAATCATGTCTTTACCTGTAGGATTAAAAGTGTGGTCTGATCCATTTGGAAGAAAATAAAACCTCTCTGGGTGAGATCTTGAAGATGTGTGGATTCTCCCTTTTTCCATCCATGATACTCCAAGTTCTTTCTGTCAGCTGAAATAATGTAAAAAAGGGGTTTGTTGTGTTGGTTTGCATCCATGTATATAGACTCATAGTCGTTGCTAATTTTCAAATGTTCTCTCTGAGTGATCTAGACATGACAAAGAGAATGTTTTCTGTTAAATAAATGGAATAATTGTGTTTTCCTTTATTGAAAGAATGAATAATTGTTTTGATCTACACAGATTATGTAACTGATGTCTCTCTAAAATATGCCCTGAATAATAAAATATATTATTTATTATAAAAAAAAAGAAACTTGATTCTAAAATTGTAAGAAATTGTGCCTTTTTATAATGTCCTACTACAAATAGGATATGGTGTTCAGTATTTTAGCTCTTTAAATGAAAACATGGACCTGATGAAAAGAGTGCTTACTTCTGAAAAAGAAGCATATTGTAATTTTAGGCTTCAAGAAGGGGATAGATTTTCACTTATTTTTCTCTTTAGGAGGAGAAAAATGGATTCAGTTTCTAATTAAAACAATACCATTTTGGGCTTAGGCTTTTTAAAATTAATTTTTGAATTAAGAGAACATGAATTTGTACATTTTCTGTTAAAAATAAAAATAACATGTGCAATACTTGTTACTCATTTTCTAATCTTTTTTGTGAATGTATATAATCTTTTTTTCTTTACTTGAAACTTTTGAATAATTCTGTATTTAAAATTTCACTAAGCTGGCTTTGAGACCCAAGTGCAGAAACTGCTTGTATACTGACAGGCACTTTCTAGCATCCGTGGTCTTGTTTTCCTGCACAAACTGACATTGACACTGGCCAGGTAGAACCAGGCAGCTATATAGCCATTGAGATAACATTTTTCAAATATCACATGCATATAAAATGTGTACAGCAGTCATTTTACAAACGTTCAAACATTAAGTGGTATTGAAGTATGGAAAACCTCTTTTCCTTAGCATGTTAAATTTCCTAAATCTCAAATAATATTTAATAGGTTGCTTTACCTCTCTAGAATTGCTGTGGGGAAGATTCACTAATTGATTGTGTCTAAACAGTGTTATATAAGTCTTTTAAAACAGGAATGGAAGAAGCTATAATTTGTTTGCAAATGCCATTTCTGTCTGAGATTATTCATCCAATTTTCCCAGTAATGATAAAATGTACTAAGGTTGAACATCTGAGAAAGAATAGAAATCAAGACATCTACTCTGTATAAGTATCTTTGCTATATCCTCTGACCTTGAGAGATGGAAATGCTGATTTGCTGAAGGTGAAAGCTGATGAATGATAAAAAAGGTATCACATAAAATGTTTACCATTTTGTATACATTTCTTGATTAAAACAGCAAGATGTTTTTTCCCTGTATGATTGAGTGTCACAAGAACACAGAGTTTAGGTAACCTTCCGTTAATCAGGTTTCAGAGGAAATATGATTCCGTGGAGAGAGGCAAGCCCAGCTATTTGAGAGTGTTTATAAAACTTCAGTGTTCAGTTGCTGAGTCAAGAAAGAATCATTTCCTAGTTGTCTGTCCAAGGGATAAAACAAACATGTTTGGCCTCTACCTATTCTGTTTAACAGAAAATGAACTTGCTCACTTAGTTTGTGTCTGTTTTGATCCCAGAATGGCTTGTAGTTTTTTCTCCCATTGTACTCCAGCAATGATTAACCACCTACTCTTCCTGGAACTGTGTACCATCAGGCTGACATCAATTACACCGCTATCCAGGCAGAGGCAAAGTAAAAGCAGCTGGTTTCAGCCTCTCCTGGGCTGTGCCAGAGAGCAATGACTTTTGGGTTAAAACAGGGTGACAAGTCATTGGGACACTGGTGCTCCTGGGCTTTTTAGGAACTAAAGCAGATTATGAGTGTGTATGCAGTGGTTTGAGGTCATACAAAATAGTTTGCCTTTCAGGGTTTAAGGCAGTGTTTCTCAACCTCAACAACTTTAAGACAAATTATACAAATATAATCCTTTATATTGGCTGGCTGGGGAATTCTGGGAGTTGAAGTCCATGCATCTTAAAGTTGCTGAGGTTGAGAAACATTGGTTTAAGGTATGTTAAGGATTCCTTGCTTTGACTTGCTAAGTAACCTTAACCTCAACAGTAGCCAGATGTTTATACCTGTATATATCTTTGCCCATCCATTTCAGGACTCCCCAGAATTACCAGATTTAAATACATGAATCTCTTCCTACTTCCTGCAGCAATATTTTGATCACAGTGTACAGGGTTTTCGTATCCTGGTTGTAAGCAGTAAATTTGCCTCAGTTAATATAACTGGCCAAAAGTAAGTTTAATTGGCTTTTTTCCCCTAATGTTTTCAGAAAGCTGAATGCTCTTCATACTGGTAATTTAGTGTTAGGATGGTCGTGCAGTAAAGTGGCATTCCTACTGAATGTTATTCTTTTTTTGTCCACTAGATAGAGTGCTCAGACTTTTCTCAGATTAATTTTATTTGAGTTGGGTATCAAAATATAATGTATTTCTGCTGTGCCAAAGTATAGGGATTTTCCTCTTGGGCACAAATGTACCCATCATCTAGACTGACTCAATGGCAGAGTGCTCCAACAGCTCTGTAAACAAAGAAACTGCTACAAATATTCAGAAATGTAATCTGTGTGTCTGCAAACCAGCAAGCTAGACTTCCTCTGCTAGTTGTGATGCCACTTAACAGTCCAGATTTGGACACAACTGACTCTCAAGTTCAGTATAAATTAAGTATTGAAATAATTCCTTCCATCTCCGCCCTGTTTGGTTTTCCCCTTTCTGCCTAGCTAAAGGGATATCTGCTGTTGCTTTACAAATGCATGGGTGTGTGTAACCTCCTACTCACATTTTCTCCCCACCCAGTGCAAACAACACATGCCATGTTTGAAGGACACATGTTTTCCCACCCTTTATCATAAAGTGGCATTTTCTTATCCGGCGTTTTGCTTGTTAGCCTGGCCATGCAGGTAGGTGATAACGCTCCGTCTTTTATGGCCTGATGGAAACTTTTTTTTGTGTGGCTGCATGAAGACTTTTGCACACAGTAGTTGGATCCCAGGAGATGCATGCCTGAATTGATTTAAAGACGTGCCCTAGCACTGGCCCTGTTCTTGGTTGCAGCCCACACAACGTTACCATTATTTCCAACGTCATCAGTTTTTGTGTTTTGGTTGCTGAGACAAATTGACTCGTGTTTGATTATATTATACATAGCTGCATTTGCACAGCTTGTTAAGTAAACAATGGTTTATTAAAATGATCCACTTGCCTAACTTTATACTTGACATAAATTAATTACTCTAGCTGAGTTGACAACCCATTTGCGCTGTTACTTGACACTCTGGATCACAAAGTAGCTAATGTTTTAGCTTAGCATGTTGTGCTAACTTATCCCATGTGGTTAGGTTATGGTTCAGTGTGTTTTGCCAGTCCAAAAAATTGGGATGCACCTATGGGTAAATTCAACAGTTCTTCCCCCCCCCCCCAATATTTGGAATACTGCAAAAAGCCTTTAACTGTATCAGTGGGTGAGTGTGAATATCATGGTGAAACCGTGCTCATCTCATACTAGTTTCTCAGTTCTTCAGAATCTTAGCCACCTCCTCAGCCTTCCCAGGGCATGTTAAAATCTCTGGATGAGAAGACGGCATCTGTGGAAGATTTATTGTCATCTTGCTTGAGATATTTTTCATTTACTTTGCCCTCCTACGACTCTGACCTCACTGGTTGTCCCAGCTTACTGATGCCTACCCTATTCCCTTCCATTTTGCAAATACTAAGCTATAGGGTAGTGTGTTTGATTTGGACTTAGTGCAGTGTGCATTTAGTTTTGTGATAAAAAGCCATGGTTTAGGATCAGGGGTAAATAAGGCTGCTCTAGTGGTTGGTTCAACAAATTTATATCTTACATTTATCCTCTGCTTCTCCACCAGGAGATGGTAGCATAGATAGCACCATTTTTCCCACCACAACCTCATAGAGTAGACTGACAGCTACAAGAGAATGATTGGCCCCGATTCACAACCTCTACCCTCAATGTTTACAACTATTGGATGAGCAGGAATTGATGAAAGTTCAGTCGTTTTATTCTTCCCAGTCCAAAGGAAGGCTGGAAATAAATTATGTAGATGGGTCAGGATTCTGTCTGTCCATCAATGGGGATAAAAGCAAAAGAAAAATCAGTTTTGGACCTGTTGGGGCTGCAGAGAAATATATTTCAGAAAGAATTGGGCAATGGCTTGTAAGTTGTTAACTCCTCCCCCCCAATCACGTGACACACAGAGATGCATCCCAGGAGAGCAAAAATGCACACAGACGGAGCACAATACTTGCTCTGCAGAAGGAAACACAAACACCACCTATGGCCAGGCCTGGTAAAGGGGTTGGAAAGAATTCCAGAAGCCAGGTTCTGATATTTTCCTTCCTTTGATTCTGCTGCGGTGCACAGATATTTTTATCATAGTTCAGAACAGTGTTTCTCAGCCTCAGCAACTTCAAGACGTGTGGACTTCAACTCCCAGAATTCCCCAGCCACCATACTGGTTGGGGAATTCTGGGAGTTGAAGTCCACACATCTTAGTGAGGTTGAGAAACACTGGTTCAAAACATCAAAACCAGAGCAAAATAGAAACTAACCTAAATACATAAATGTACATAGAAGGCTAAATCTGGATGGAGCTGGTTTAATTTTGACAAAAAAATTAAACATGCCAGCTCATATCCTACCCTCCATCGGCTAACTGAACAAAACTATACTGTTAAAGAGCCATAAGGCTGCAAACATATTTGGGTACCTCTAATTGGGGGGGGGGGGGGGAAAAA